CCTATACTCGCCGTATAAGACTACCCCCCCTTAAGAGGCCAACCGGCAGCGCCCTCCCTGGCTTTTCTTTTGGCAAAGCCTCAGAGGCGCGGCACCGCGCCGCTGCTGCGGCTTTGCTCCCGGTGCCCCTGGTCTGCTGGGGACCGTCTCCAGCAGACCAGGGACACCGGGAGAAAAGCCAGGGAGGGCGCTGCCGGTTGGCCTCTTAAGGGGGGGTAGTCTTATACGGCGAGTATAGGCGAAAACCTATGTTTTAACTAGAAAATTAGGGGGTCGTCTTATACGCCCAGTTGCCTTATACGCCGGAAAATACAGTAGGCCAAAAAGAGTTAAAGTGGTATGGGTTACACTAAGGAATGAATCAAAAGTTACTGTTATACATGGTTCCGTGTGGGAATTTTTTTACTATGTAAATATGGGAGCGTCCATCTGAGATTGATAGGCATGTCTCCAAAATGGAAATTAAAAATAGGCTTTTTAATTTGGGGGGGGGGAGCGCGCTAGCTTCGCGTCTCCCTGGTCTGCTGGGAGGAAGCAGCTAGTGCGGGGGTGCCTCCCCCCGTTTGTAAGTAGGGATCCGATGTAAGTTGGATCCATGTAACCCGGGGACTGCCTGTATGCGATGTATGTGTGTGTTGGGAGGAAGAAAGGAAACTATCATCCTTTTACTAACGTTGACTCAAGTGAAGTATATATTCATTCTTGGTTAATCAAATTAAGATGACTTCTAGTTAAAAAAAATGCTGAAATGTAAAGAAAATTAGCTAAATATAAAACACAAAAATATTATAAGAAAGTTATTTAGGTTCCAGAGACAAGCCCATGAATGTTATTAAATGCCAGATTCACAATTGCCAGTAAGACTTTAATTTTTTTCCCCTGGTGTGTCCATTCTATGCACTATCTGTCTATGTTTACACTGCAACGCTATTTCAGGATACTGGAGTATCCCAAAATAGCTATCCCACCTCTTCACAGCAAGCCTGGTATTTCGGGCTCACTATTCTGAATTTCCGACGTACAGGCAGTCCCCGGGTTACGTACAAGATAGGGACTGTAGGTTTGTTCTTAAGTTGAATCTGTATGTAAGTCGGAACTGGCATCCAGATTCAGCCGCTGCTGAAACTGACCACCAGTTCTGACTTACATACAGATTCAACTTAAGAACAAACCTACAGTCCCTATCTTGTACGTAACCCGGGGACTGCCTGTAATGCACAAACCAATTTTCAAATGACCAATTAAGCACCAGCTCTTCAGTGTAGCTTAATAAAAAACTGAAAGCAAAGAGGAACTCTACTTCATACATTTTATAAGAGTGAGTTTTGCAACCCAATCCTATGTTTAGTGGCATGCACTTAAATGAGACAAACACTAGTGGACATTTGATAATACAGAGAGCACATAAAACTGTAAGTAGAAAACCCACTCTGAAATCTGAACTGTTAGTTCAGTCCCATAGTAACGATATGGTAATCACAGATCAATCTTACATGCTAGCTATTGCAGGAGGTACTGTTTCAGTGGCTAAACCCGTGGAGTAGTACTCAAGAGACCTAAGTTCTGTTCCTGTCTCAGATTTGCTAAGCAACCTGGGGTAAATCTCATTTTCCCCATATGTCAAGTGGGGATAATGGCACTTAACTCCTAAAGTGCTTTGAAAGCTATAGATAAAAAGCACTTTAAGAGCGAGGTATTATACTTTATAGCTGAATGGTTTCTTAAGATTTGCTGCTGGTATTGAATATCAGTTGTATACATTGGAAGGGACAAAAGAAATGCTAAACTTTTCCTAAAGAAACAGTGCATTTGTCTGGAAAAGGAAATTTAACTGGCTAACCTGACCACACATGTAAAGGTTATGTCAAGAATGCCTGTACCTGTAAACCTCATTCCACGAGGAGCAAGAGATGTTTCAGAATAGCGGGTTATTTCGAAATTTGGCACTGTGTAGACAGCGCCAAATTACAAAATAAGTTATTTTGAAATAAGATATGCAATTTGCATAGCTCAAATTGCTTATCTTATTTTGAACTATGGTACAGTGTAAACATAGCCTCTGAGACAAGGGACGTGTGGAAAAAATTTTATGTGATCATGTGACTAAGGACTGTATCATATTTACTATGCAACAATGAACGCCCATGAAGGAGCATCTTGAAAGATTAGACCCTTATCAGTTATGTGTCTGTTCAAATATGCAGTCTGTGCTATTTTTGTAATTTCACATACGCATCAGGTATTCAATAGCACACATATTTTCTTTTTTATCCCTAGGCTTCTGCCATTTTGAAAATTTTGTCATCTTTGTGACTTATCCCTTATTTTGAGTAGCTAAACCAGAGCACACTCAACTGACACTTATCCCAATTAAGCAGATGTGCCATTTAGAAGATACTAATTAAGCACATTCTACTATATATATATTTCAGTGGCATTTTCTAGTTAGGATGTTCCTTTCAGACAGCTTACCAAAATGAACCCATTTATGTCACAAGTCGCTAAGCAGAGCAAAGAAAGAAAAGACAAATACTGTATGTTACCACCTATAATTTTAGTCAGCCTTCCCTCTCCCTTTCTTCTCCTCATAAAAAAATGCCACAAAGTCTACTGTTACTGTATACGTGACACACACTTTATTACTATGTCTCTATTTAATATGGAGTCTTGCCTAGGGTGATTTAATTTCATTGCCGATAGCTACAAATAAAAGAGTTTATGTTGCCCTTTATGCTTCTGAGTCCTCATTAAAAGCGCTCTATTTTAAAAAGTATTTATGAAAAGAAACATCTTTTTACTGAATCCATTTCTATTTTCAACTCCTTGTGGCAATTTTAGTGTGAATATTATGTGAAAGCAATTAACGCTTTATACAATTTTGGCCTTTAAAAAATTCAAAACATCTTTTGTAAGGACAACGAAAATTTTTTATATCAATTGCTCTCTGTGTCTTGCAATAATCTCTCTAAAAAATAAAATATCTTTACCATTTCGTTTCTTATTTGTCACTTCTCTAACTAGTCTCAGTAGTTTCAATCTTAAATGACAGTCTCTTCACGACTAACTAGTCACTCCAGCAGACGCTCTCTATTTTATGAGACAGGTTGACTAGAATTTAATGCTCTATTCCAGATGAAGGCGTATCATTGATTTATGTCATGACTTGATCTTTTCTACCATGATAGACATGTCTTTGAGCATTGTGTTTGTTTGCCTTTTTGACTACTAGATCTGAAATAGAGGCTTTAATTGTGCTGTCCACAACAACGTGCCCAGCATTTATTGTATTTCCCTGAACAAAGTTGATTTCAGGCACAGTAATATATCTCATTATTGCTTCCAATGTACTTTAGCTTGCATTTGTAAACAATCAATTTCATCTTCAGTTGTGCTGCCCATAAACCTAGCTTTCTTATATCCCACATAGTCTTAATTGATGTAATGTCATCCACAAATTTTACCATAATACTGTGCCATCCTTTTCCCCAATCATGGTTAAACATTAATCCTAGTTCAGAGTTTTGGAGCACTCCATTTTAGTTTGCAACATGGCAGAATTACTATTTTATTCTTTCGGTTTTCTATTTCTTAGACGAATTTTTAATCTGCTTTCTCTCTCACTCCATGACTCATGTGAGTAACTTTGTAAAAGGCCTTTTGAAAATCCAAATACATTAGATACCCTAATTTTCCTTCATGCACTATTTTCCTTACCTGCTCAAAAGTGTTCTTACAGATCAGAGAGGGATTATTTTCCTTTAAAAAAGCTTTGCTGGTTTCTTTTGTCATATGATAGTTTAAGGATTCTTTACATTTTATTCTTAATTATCATTGCAATCAGATTACCTGGTACTGAACCGTCAATGGCTGATCATTGCCAGAATCATTCCAGCATTAAAAAAATAGGCACAACCAATATACTTGATTTATGAAAGAGAATTGCCTGTTTTTGTTAACTCAGCCCCTTCATTCTTAAGTTACTCCAGAACATGTGAGTGTTTCCAGTGTGGCATTTGATCTTGGTTACTTGTCGTTTTTTTAATTTATCAATTTCTTCTGGCATACCTTTTTGACACCTCCATTTCTTACTTACTTTTTTCAGGCAATAAAGATGGGATACTGTATCTCAGTATCATTGCATCTCAGTGTCCACTGGAATGTGGACTGATGGAAAGAAATCATTTATCTCCTCTGAAAATATCCTCCTGAATTTCTCCCTTTAGCCTTTGCTAGAACAGCAGACCCACTGATATTGTCACAGGTCTCATATAGCCAAAGAATGTCTTAGACAAAATGTTCTTCAAATTCCTTTCTAGATTATCTAGTTTTCATTTTACTTGCCATAGTTTATATTCCTTTTTATTAGCATGACTTGTGTTGGAATTACATTTTGTGAAGCATACCTTTTAATGATATGACTCTTCTACCTTGTTATTGACTCATACAGGTTTTCTTCTTGTCTTTCTTTTAACAATCTATCTATTTTTGAATCCACATTAGGTTGTGAATGCAAAATGTTGCCACATTTAATTGGAGGCACCCAAGAGGGCATGTAGATGTCTAATTACCTTATTTCCAGGAACAAACAGGTAATTAGCTATCTTAATGTGATCACATGTGCCAGCAATTTTTATCCTACAGTTTTGTGCCAACAACTGCTTGGACAAAAAAATGGAAGCTAGGTTCAGGCAATTTTAAAATTTAGCTCATATGTCACACTCTTATTAGAGGGTGCACATACATATTCAGCATTGGTTGAAATGGGCATAAAGCATTTTTATTTGTATATAACTTGTTTTAATAGACTGACAAATACTGTTAGAAAATATAGCTTAATTCCTTTATTCCTATGAATCCTTTACTCCTAAGAATAATTGTACTCTTATCATGTGTCAGTTCAAAGTTCTTCACTGCGATAGAACATTAGAGGTATTTTGACAGAGGTTTGGATGTTTATTCAGGGTTCACTTATAATAAATTGGTTTTTACTGTTTTCTTACCAGAATAAAATGATCCTAATATTTCCCTTCTTCCAGAAAGCTCTGGCAGACTTCCCCCAATCAGGATAGGGCTTGTCCTGAAGCATCATATCAGTGACCTATGGCGGAAGAAGGAAATAATTTACCTTTAAATCAATATCATAAAGTTTAAAACACAAAATTTTAGATTACAAAGGTTTTTTTCATTTTATATCATTCTAATCAACATTTATAACAACAGCTAAGTTGAAAATCTGAACAAAGACATTACCTGCAGCTCTCTTATTCAAAACCTACTTGATCTTTGGTCTGCCTTCTAAAACTGGGGTATACACAGTTGTGAGAGATATGAGAAGGCTCATGTATTGACAAAGATGCACAGAAGACTGACACTAATTTAAATGAGCAAGTTACTTACGAAGATCTAGAAAAAAAATTGGATGCAGTTTACTTTCTTCATAACCATATGTGTAAGACAAATAGCACTGTTCCAGTCCAGCCACAGAGGAAAGTCCAAGTTCAAGGAGCACAGTATCAGGAGAATTTTGGCTATGAAATGTGGATTACAGTTCAGGAGTATCTATGCCAAAAAACCTTGTACACTAAGGGCCATATGCTACCCTCGATCTGCACTCAGTCCCAGATGCAAATGAGAAATTTGCACACAAAGTAAAGGCCATATAGGACCTAAAACTTGTGCTGCTCCCTTACTTGGTATTTAAAAATTGAAAGGCTTATTCTAATTTTCAGTACTCATATTTAAACATACCATCTGTCAAACTGCACCCAGAGACCCATACATATGTACTACTTTTGGATGATTTACAAAAAGAATTAGAAATGGGCCTGAACAGAAGCAATAGATTTTTATATCTATGATCTTTGGGCATGTTAAAAAACCATATTCTTTTTTTTTTCAGATTAACACTCTTGTAAAGTATTAAAAAATATAATATCGTCATTTCATCCACCATGCTATTACGTACTTTGAAAACCCAGTAACGGGGGAAACACACAGAAGTTTTAAAAAAAAGTCAGTACATAGTCCTTGCTGTGAAATTCAGTAAAACAATTGTTTATCTACCACTACCATCAGTATACTTTTAAACTGTTACTTGCTTTGATAAATGTAAAAGCACCTCCTGAAGTGATTTAAATAGGAAAAACCCCCACCATAGTTTTACTCGTTTCCAAATAGAATCCAGTTTTACAGAGAATCTCTTATTTTTATTTTCTCCCTGGTTTATTTTTGAAGTATGGAGTTGTTTTGGTTTGGGTTTTGTAATGTAATCAGCTAGTATGTGAATTAGTACTTTCATTCAAAGACAGTTGATAGTGTTTATCAAAAGGCACACGTAGCCCATATTTAAATCCAAACCACATTTGAATCAAATGTATCTCCCAACATTAGGATTCTTAATCTCAGAAGGCAAGAATGTTCAATACTTTGCAGAACTGGGTCCTAAATGATGAGAACTTTAAGCAAGTATGGCGTATACACAAATGTAGTCCAGGATTCCAGGACTCTGTCATTAATAGCTGGAAGAATTATAGCTGGAGTTATCGTGGACAGTTCTCTGAAAACTTCCACACAGAGTGCAGCGGCGGTCAAAAAGGCAAATAGGATGCTAGGAATTATTAGGAAAGGGATAGAAAATAAGACCCAGAATATCTTACTGCCCCTGTATAAAACTATGGTACGCCCACATCTGGAATACTGTGTACAGATGTGGTCTCCTCACCTCAAAAAAGATATTTTGGCCTTGGAAAGGGTTCAGAAAAGGGCAACTAAAATGATTAGGGGTTTGGAACGGGTCCCATATGAAGAGAGGCTAAAGAGACTGGGACTTTTCAGTTTAGAAAAGAGGAGACTGAGGGGGGATATGATAGAGGTCTATAAAATCATGAGTGGTGTGGAGAGGGCTGATAAAGAAAAGTTATTTATTAGTTCCCTAAATAGAAGAACTAGAGGACACCAAATGAAATTAATGGGTAGCAGGTTTAAAACTAATAAAAGAAAGTTCTTCTTCACACAGCGTGTAGTCAACCTGTGGAACTCCTTGCCAGAGGAGGCTGTGAAGGCTAGGACTATAATAGAGTTTAAAGAGAAGCTGGATAAATTCATGGAGGTTAGGTCCATAAAAGGCTATTAGCCAGGGGATAAAATGGTGTCCTTGGCCTCTGTTTGTCAGAGGCTGGAGAGGGATGGCAGGAAACAAATCGCTTGATCATTGTCTTCAGTACGGCCGTTCTTATGTTCTTATGTTCTTATGTAAGAATTGATGGAAACCTGAAATACTACCATTTCTAATGGTTTTCCATGGGTAATTCCTCTCTCCAATCACCCATATTATGATATAGTTTTTATTTTAATAAGATCCCCAAGATTAACTAAATAAATATTTGGATATATATTTAATGCTTAAATAGCCCCTATCAAGTTTTAATTAATTTCATTCAGAAATACTGTTCCAGTTCTGGGAAGATTCTGCACGGTAATAAATATTTGCAAGGAAAAGGATGATTACTGCATGAATTTTATTCAATTTTCAAAATGTTTTCTCTGGAGTACTTTCTGGGAAATACTTATTATATTTGTTAGGAAGAAGCAATCTGCTGCTGTATGATCAGTTATTACAACAGCATGTTTTATAAGAATGGCATTCAAGTAAGTGACATTTGCTGAGGAAAATGGCAAGATGAAGCAGGAAATGTTCATTCTGATATCAGACAGCTGGTCTTTTTCATCTCTTAGCTCCAGCATTTATTTTAAGTCTTATCATCAGATCAATGTCAGGTCACTTGCAGCTAAATTGGCAGAAGCAAAGGCAGTCATTAGAGGGATGCATTCAATAAAGAAAAATCCAATTACCTTTTGCATTAGAGAAATCAAATTCATTTTCTGGTGTTGGTCAAGAACAGTCATTGTGGAAAATAATGCATGGAAGGAAAGTACTCAGCTTTGTCACAATATAAATTATTTTGTTTGGATTGGATCAATATAATAGCAACAAGGTATTTTAACTTCCACCAGCATTGTCAGAAAATTAAAAAATAAAATAAAATAAAAATCAACCCTTTTATTTGTTTTATACAAAATTAAAAGACTTTATTTCTCTCTTCATGTTTAAAAAAATCCAATGCACTGCCTGGCAAACATTCACCTTTGTTAGATCAAACAAAAGACAGGACTATGCAGCACTTTAAAGACTAACAAGATGGTTTATTAGGTGATGAGTTTTCGTGGGCCAGACCCACTTCAGGGTCTTTAGATCAGACTACCAGGAAAAATGTTGTGTATATTACAGAGTACATGTCCCAGGGTACGCAATACATGCATTCTTCAATCATTCTATGTGTATCTCTTGTACAATCAAGATAAAATGGGAAAAGCCACTTAAAAATACCCATTACTTAATTCATTAATTTTATATCTATAACTAAGAAAGAACCAGGAATGTGATACTGTATTAACATTGATTACACACACTTAGTTTAAAAATGTGTGTGTTTTTATGCATATCTATAGTCCTATGTTTCACTTAATGTTCCATTAGAAAAATGGGTACTGTCTATAAAGGTTAACAAACTACCATTTCATAATGTGCAGTCAGATGCATGTTCAGTGAAAAATAAAACTGGCATTTCTAGTACTACCTTATCAAACATTAATGTGACTGCACATTATTTATGAGGGTAACCCAGAAATACCTTAGTGGCACATTTCTCTATATCATTAGGTCAAATATGCTGAAATACTGAGTCACAATAGTTGTTAAAGATTAAAAAAATTAGATACGGCCCATTTTGACATGGCATATTGCAACCATGTAAGAACAGGAAGTTTTGCATTGAGCACTTGTTATGGGAAATACCACTACCAGACAAAACAATTACCAGTAGAAAATATGTATAAATTGGGTATAAAGCTACCTATCCTTCTAGTGGCATGGGAACATTTTTAAGAGTGGGGGTGCCGAAATCCAACCCCTTTACCTCTGTCTACCTCCGCCCCCCAGCTGTGGCCAGAAGTAAAGCCCTGCATGCTGGGTTGGCAGCCAGGACCTTGGGCGTGAGGCTGGCAGTAGAGCCCAGCAGCACATGGGTCCAACAACTGAGGTCCCTGGAATGTGGATTCCGAGGGTGCTTTGGTACATTCCATGACCCTAGTTTCTGGGCCTATGTAACCGTCTTTGTGAAATGCTTTGAGATACTCAGATAAAAAAAGTGTTATAGGCAAGCTATTCATTTATTTATTCTTATCATTGCATTCATTTTTCATAAACAACATTTGCCACTGGTCAAACCACATCTTTCTCATGATATCACCTACAGCAGACAGAGAAAATTAGTGTGCAGTTCTGTTTCTTAAAAGACATCTTGCAGGATTCTTAGTGTGAGATTGACAGAACTTCTCTAGTTCTCAAGGTTTTTCAACCTTTGAGAGTCATGATAGCAAAGCAGTATTGCAAACCACACCCCGTGCTGAGTATAAATGCTGCTTGCTGAATATTCCCATCTATCCTTTTGAGTGGGAGGTGAAGCTCCCAGGAGGAAAAACAAAAATCTCAATTCAAAATGAGCAACATAAGATCAAACCATGTGCCTCAGAGAAAAAATGAAAAACCAAAGTGTGAACACAACACAAAAGCTAACCTCCCAACTCGAGAAGAAACAGCAGGGGCAGAGAGAATCTTACAAGATACATCCATTAGCGAAAAAGCACAACAAACAGCAACCTTTCCCAATCTGTGGTGTGAGCACATCCCACACTATAATGTCCAAATTCATTCCTCCTCTGATGCTTGACTTTCTTTAATAAAGCCACAGTTGCTGTTATTAGAGGTCTTCCCTCAGGACGGCTCAAACCATACCCCCTCAGGAAAGTCACTTCAAAGGTGCTGCCACCTCAGTGGAACACTGGAACTACTTAATTCTTTCACAGTTCAATCAATCTCTGCTAACTAGTGTTTCAGACAAACACTGGAAGCCTATTCCAAAAACTGGCTAGCTGCAAGAACAACATGGGGATAACTTGACCATTCCTTCAAAAATCTTCAAAACCCTTCCTGGAAAGGAACTAAAGCAGAAGTTCTCACACTAGAGTCATTGCAGCAAT